AAATTTCTTACAGTTAAGCTGTTCCTATCAACTTGGTCTTACTTGACTTATGATTTGGGAAACCTTCTTTGCATCGAAACCTTCACTTGCAAAAAACTAACTTTGTACGTGTGGCTCGAGGACGCTTATGCTCATTTTCAGTCACAATGTGCGCTAAAACCAGATGTCGTTTATTTAGCCTTATCTCAGTGTTATCGGAATGACGGTGTGAGGCTTTTTACAAGAGTGCGCTGACCACTCGTTCTTAGAAGAATAAGCTTTCTTTCCGATTTACACAAAATCGCCAGCCACAGTGTTTGCAGCCAGCTGGACATACAAACTCATAATTTATAAGTCAATTTCGGCAAAGGTACGCTCTCAATTATTTAACATCAGGCCTGTACAGAAACATAAAGGAGTAGCGACATTTATACAGACAGGGCCTTTCGTTTTGCAGGTTTATAATCTGCTTCTGGCAGGGGTTTAAGGGGGGGTGGTAAAGAATGGAGGGAGATGTCTACCAATTAGCCATGTCGCAATTTCGTCGCTTTTAAGCTCCATGGGTTCGTGTTAGGCCAGAGGAGCCTTAGAATCCGTATAAATGCTTTATGCAAGCACAAAATTGGGTTATATAGTCGTACGGCCGCTGCCTCTGCCATCCCAAGTATCCGTTCACGCAGAACTTTAAGATGACTTGGTATGATTCTTTGACGTCTACCCAACGTCCGCTTTCGACCGAGTTCGCCAAAATCGTGTTAGAGGTGGACTTTGCCATAGTTTCATTTAGCCAGACCACACGGAGTTCTCGCATCCGCTTGGATAGGCGAAGAGATGGTCGATCAATTGTGGCAATGAACCGATGAAGCTAAGGCTCTATATCCTCCGAGGTCCCTTAAACGCGGCCAGTAGATTTCGTCGTTAACTAGCTCGAAAATGCTGCCGGCAGCGATAGTCTTCCTTCTCGACTGGAAGTACGTCCACAGAACAGGTTCTGAGTTTTGGGCGGTTTTGCTTATAAAAATGCTAAAGATTACGCATTCCGCTCCCTTTTTCTGACGTCGTTCTCGGGGTTTAGAGCACGGCAAATGTAATATTTGACGTCTCTCGTCTAACCGAAGGAGGTCTTATATGCTGTGCATTGACAGGTCAATGTTCCCGCTGGAGTAGTGTCCAGCCAATCGAACAGCGGTCAGGGGAGCCGTCTCTCAAACCCAGGTGTCCAAGAAAGCCTTATGGATGGTGACTTGCGCAGGAGTTGTGTATTGTTGAGGAGTTTCACCATCCCTGAATTTTATGGTCTCATCTGTCACATCTCGGGTCCGCTGATTCACCGAAAACTAAAGTCGAACGGTTTTGCCCATTGGACTGTCGGGCCCATGCTCTGTTGACTGGGATCGATAATTCTTCGCATCTGCAATTTGTTTGTGCGGAACCCTTCGGATAGTCAGTTTGCCTAATAGTACAGACGAATTTTGTTTTGAAACGGGATCCAGATGAAATCTACCATTGAAAAAGCTGATTGA